TATCTTATTGATGGCTTGCTCTATTTCAAGAAGCGGATTTATATACCTGACAATACTATACTCTAGATATGCATATTTTAAGAAGAACATGACATTCTAATATTTAGACATCTAGGGCATGAGAAGACTCTAGAATGGATCTCAAGGATATAGTTTTGGATAGGTTTGAATCATAATGTTTAAGATTTTATGCACTCTTGCAAGTCATGCCAATGTAATAAAGCACACAACATAATATCTCTTCGGTTATTGCAGCCAATTCTACTACTTATGACACATTGTAACTAGATAACCATAGATCTCATTATGTGTTTATAGTAGACGTCTCACAATCACATTATCGTTGTTGTTTTTATAGATTGACTCTTGAAATAACTTCACTTGGTTGAGATGCACTCTAATATTGATCCTCTAGCATTTATATGGATCTTCTTTGATATTGTCTTTTGTCACAATAGATTATTTTATATCATCATTTTAAATTGAGATCTACGCTTTACAAAAAGTCTCTGCCATATTTTATTCAAGCTAGTGGATACATGACTTCTCATATCTACAGCCTTTTATTATAAAACAAATAGAAAAATGGAACATGCAAATTGAACCTTGGAAGATATAATACATACATTTATGGTGGTTCACCATAATGATTGTAATGAATATTTGACATCCTTGGAGTTTATTTATAATGATAGTATTTAAGTAAGTACCAATCTTTCAACATTCTTTTTTAACATCATTCAATATCCAAGTACGCTAATAACTCTATATTGTCACATTGACACCAACAACTTGGCAACAGAAGAATTTATACAATGGCTTACAATGGCCTTGCAAAAAGTATGGCACTGCCTCATTATTATATAGAATCGATAGAAGCAATATGCGGATAACCATCGATAATATAAGATCTTTCTAGAGAATGACTAGGTATTACTCTCTAATGCCAACTTTCCACTTGTTACATCAATGCAAGTCCGTAAGTTGGCACTTTAATAGCTTGGATCTTTCTACATTCTTATAATGATTTTTGATGTTGAATACTGCTTTGAGCTTTCACAACATATTCAAGTCCATTTAATCTTCCATGTTTTGTAATTTAAAGAGGTTCATACTAAACGAAGGTACTTTTTGGACCAATATCAACCACCACTACTACCATTGGTTGTGATTGATGACTAATAAGAATATGAAGTAGATAGCATTTGAGAGCATTGCTACATTTTCTATTGCAATGGATGTCTACAACTTCAGTACAAAGTCCTCTAGAAAGGTTATTCCATCTATGATGCAATGTAGAAATTTGCACAGAATCTCATCTATTATCAAGAAAAAATTTGGAAATACAATCGAGAACAAAACAATGACATTCTGCATTAATGAAAGAGGATTAACTATTACAGGGTATAGATAAGATATTCATATTGTTGACGCATAGAAATAAGTGGTTGGAGCCATTTTTAAGAAGTTTCTTGAAGTTTTTAGAATATGGGCTAAATTGATGATATATGTAGGACTTACTATAGAATATTCTAAAATGGGCTTATTGTAATTATCTACATGAAGCTTACTATTAAGAATATTTTAAAAAGTTCCACAATGATTGGATAAAGTATAAATAAGACTAGCGAAGGCCATTTGGATATCTAGTCAAGTATATCTTTGATCTTTTTTATTAATAAAGTTTGGTTTTGCATTTATTTTTTGTTCAATTATATTCTATTATTTTTTATTTTTTTTGTCTTTTATGTTCTATTTTGTTTAATTATATTCAATTTTGTTTTGGTCTGTGTTGTCTTATATTGTGATTGGATTTATATTGCAATGGATCCAAAGGATTTTAGATCTTAGAAAGAGTCCAATTTGGTTTTTATATTGTAATTTTTTATAGTATGTAAAAATCAACTAAAATAGATAATATATTTATAAGTATTGATGTACTCTAGAGTGATTAGTAGATTAATATAAAGAGATTTGATGTAAGAAAATTTATTTTGAGGTTTACCTATGTTGATTATAGTATTTAAATTGTATAGGATTTAGATATTTAGTATAAAATTTAAGAAAAAGATTGGGACTCAAAGATGAAGATCCAAACCTCTAAATAACTTATTTGGAGGGATGAAAGTAAGGTATGGATTTATGAAGGCTAAAAGTAAAGATCTTCATTTTTATTGGTCAAAGGCCATATCCAATAGGCATTCAACAAGTTGTCTGCAACCATAATAAGGATTTTGGTGACTTCAAAAGAAGTGTTTGAGAATTAAGAGTAAAAATTGTAAGATTTAGGATTTGAACTACAATTTGTATACAAATTTTAGAGGATTTGGAGTTAGGGTGATGAAGTTATAGCCATTTGAAGTTAAGGTATCTTTTTAAGATATGTTATTGCTATTTTAAAAATACAAGGAATTTTATGAAAAATATTGGAAATTGAAAGATACAACTACAAGGGCGATTTCAAGATCTATATCTTTTATAAAAGAATTTTTACATTTGGAGTTTTTATGAAGAAGTTATAGAGCATTGAAGACAGTGCATGTAATTTATAGGAAGTAAGTGAGTCATTTTGTTGCTAGCAATGGTTGGAGCCATATCTTAAATTTTCAGAGCAGTTTTTGGCTCAAAATTTTTAGAAGTGTGTGTTCTTAGGTTAAAAAGCTATATATTAAAGTTTTATAGTATTTTAGTACTTAATTTTTGAGATATGAAAAAAATTGCACCCAGGTATGTGTAAGTAAGGGTTTAAAGCTACTGTTAAGATCTTAGCAATATTTCAAGATCCGTAATAAATTTGCAATTGAAACTTATTTTAGTAGTTGTTAAAAGTACATCAGTACTTCATGTAAACATTTGGTTTTTTTGGACATTCCAATTGTGAGATCTAAGCTGTTGAAATTTGGAAAAAATTCACCTTAAGGATATACAAGGTTTTATAATATTTTTATCACATTTTTCGTGACCTTTGGTACTTAGGGCTTATGTATTGATGTAATTGATCCTATAGGGACAATTTTATATATTGACTTAGTATTTTTTATTTTTTTTATTTTTATTTTTTTATCTAGAAGCTTGATTGAACAATTAGTGATAGCCAGAAGCCCATTGCTTTTTTAAAATAAATTTTGTCTACCACGACACCATTTCATAAATTCTTTCAATCTTATCTTTTGAGTAGCTATTTATACTAAAATCTTTCTAAGTAAGAAAACAGATAAAACAAGAAAAAAAAATTAAAAAATCTTAGAACTTTTTATGGTAGAAAACTACATAACAAAAAAAATAAAAATAGATGTTTTTTTTTAAAGCAAGATATCTTTTTTTAAGAAGGTTGTGAATAGTAAGTAAAAATCTAATCATTTTTTTAAAGAGAATTTTTTTATTTTTTATTTTTAAGTATTTTATATTGATTTCTAAGAATGCTTTTTATTTTTTTTTAAAAACCATCTCTTTTAGATAATTCCAATATGAATATTCAAAAATAACATTATTCATATTATGTAGGAAAAAAATGTATTTTACTTTACTTTTTCCTCACTCAGACATTGGACTAATTTTTATAAATATAAATCCAATTTTAAGAGGCTTCTTGATTTCAACCAATCAAAACATTTAAAACTAAGGGCCTTTCGCCCTCTCCCTTTCATACAAAGTACTCTTAAGCCATTGTACAAATTATGGCCTCTTATTCTTTAATATTAAAAATTCAAACTATAGTATCATTTGATATTATGGAAAAAGTAATTATGTATTTTTATTTTTTTCTTCAAAGAATATACTTAATTTCACATTACAAAGATAACTTTTAGAAACCACAAATCTAGAAGAATAATACTTGAAGCATCAAATTGAACAATTTTGGGGCATATAGAGAAAATAAAAATCATGCTTGCACATAAACAAATATGTACAAATTGTCATATTACAGAGCAAATTTTTCTTTGCAACCAATTGCCTTAAAAGAATCATACCAACATCTGATGGAACCGATTTGAACTTTGATTAATACTGAATTTTCAAAACCATCATTATATAGTATATTTTACATATTAAAAATATAAATAATATAGTATCATCAATTAAACACATTATCATACAAAGTCCATCAATTTTAAAATGTTATTTCAAAAAAAATGGCATATTTGTGTATTATTTTTGTTTTTTGTTTTTTCATTTAATTTTTACTAAACAAATGTTTTGAACATAATTTAAATTTTTGTATATAAAATTTTTACATACTATAAATATAAAGTTCAAATGTGTTTACAACATTTATATTTTTTAATTAGTGTATACAAACACAATTCATTTAAATTTCCAACATTGAACAAAACAATTATTTTTTATTTATGTTTTAATCTTATTTTTGTAGAAAACTATATAAACTACAAAATACACTAGATTTCTAGCCATGTATACATGTATATGTGTGTTGTAGATATATAACGTTATAATTAGAATATTTCACAATCATCTAAATTTTCATGTAAAAATTCTGTATCATACTTTAGAGATATTCTTAATCTTCTTAATACTTTTATGATCTTCCAAGTCGTTTATATAAGGAAATGTTAAGATTTTGAATCTTCTATACTCAAAACCTCCATAGTATTCAAGGGTCTCCAAATTATTATTTTAACAATTTTCATTCTGCTTTTATGTAGAGTTTTATTTTGAAAATAGAATATTTTGTTCGAAATTGAATTACAATAAGTTATTGCAAAATATCTACCTCTCAATGTTTCTTTTAGTAGACTTTTTAATATTATTTTTTACTTGGAATGATCATACACATTATTCAGAATATGAGTTGATCAAACCTTAGAAAAAACAAGCAGACATGCATTAAGTAAAGCTCCACCAAATTTAGATTCGCAGAAACTACTGGATATTATTAAAACTAAATTATTGCACCTGGACAGTTGTAGTAGTGGACAACAAGTCACAAGATCTTCCACAGATCTTCACAATCCAACATATTGACAGTATATGCCAGAAAATTGTACCACAACAATAATAATACTTCTTTATTACACAAACCCAAAAAAACATAACATATAAAACAGAAGTTACATAGTTGAAGATACCATGACTATACCTCTCTCAACAATCAACAACAGTAACACAAGCACGTAACTTACCTCGTCAAAACTATTCCACATATGTTTCCTTTTCCCTTTCCTTTCCTTTCCTCCTCCTGACAAGAGATCACACTCCCCCATACTGGAATACATCAAGCAGAGAACTCTAGCAGATCTCGTATACACTACCCCACACCCAATGACATTTCTATAACTCTTCTATGTCATTGTTAATTCTACAACAGAGCTTTTTTTTCCTTTTTTTTTTCACACGAAACGGTGTATATTCTAGAACTCAGTTCTGACCTCAGTTTTATTTTAAACAAACCTGTAAAAGCCAAAACAGAACGTCACAGAAACAAAAGTCTAGAACCAAGCCTTAAACGAGGAGTTGCAATTTTGGGCCTCATTGTCTTCCAAAGCCATTTCAATGGTGCTGCTAGGATCACATTTCTTTGGCGCTCAGCTCGTCTGCCAAATTTCTCAGAAAATCCTGGTATGGTGATGCATGCGAGACGTAGACACCACCGAAACGAATTGCTGGGTTGGTGGAAGAATCTGTCGTCTTCAAATCGTTCAAGAGTTGATCCCAGCACCTGTCCCGGTCGTTCAGATTCAGGGGAAGCTCGTTCCTCGGAGGAAGACATTCCAAATCTTCGGCCAGCTTCCGCAACACCCTGGATAGTGGATTGGGGAGCCGAAATACACTGCCCGGCCTTAATATCTCCCAAATCGGAGCCCGCATCCGCTCCATCCAATCAATGTAGTCTTTACGGCCTCTGTTCACCGGCATGTCCGCCTTCATGAATATGTTGGAAGAAAAATCTAGAATGGCTGTCATATCATTGAATGCCCAATGTTAACGACCAGGGAGCCGACAGAGGACGTGAATTGAGAACATGCAACAGATGCACACGTGATGCGAAAAGAAGGGAAATGAGTTGACTGGAGACGGAGTCTTACGCTGCTCCGCGACCCTTACGGCTAATGCTCGTAACGCGTGAGAGTATGGCCATGTAGTCTTCACGTACACGCGGAGATCAGTGACTTCGCGACGATTGTTCTCCAAAATGTAAGTCATTTCGCTAGCCAGCTCTCTTAACCACACAGAATCCTCGACGGTGCGAGCCAGAGGAGAATCATGACCTGGTGAATAGACATTCAGTTCATCAGCAAGCTTGACCAAAAGCTTATAAGCGAAGGTCCTGTTAGGCACCTGCATGAAAGGGTCGAGATTTCCTTGTATCCATTCGATATAATGTTCGGCTGATATAAAAGGTGGAATCTCCATGTCGACGCCTAGCAAAAGAGGAACAGTTTGGGCCTCTGCTCACTCACCAGGAAAACCAACAGTTGTGTTAATTAAATGCACTAAAGCTTGGCACTTGCCATGTTGAACCACTTCACATTAAACATGATCGCAGACAAATCAGGCAAACCAGTGGGTACTAGAAAAGATAAGAAATCATTTGTATATATATATAAAAAAATATATCTTCTCAAAGAAATTTGGGTTTTTCTCCGACTCTGTATGGGTTCTTAGGAGCAGCAAAGAAGAAACGCCTCACCTATTGCGCGGAATCGATGGACCTCTTCGTGGTCTTGATCGAATTCCGGGTAAATAGCTCCGGGCAACCAGAGGGAAAAGTTTTCCGTGCCTCTCAGTACTAAATCGACAGACTCGAATTCCGTGTCCATGGCACCGCACTAGCGCACAACGGAATCCCGCCTCTAAACAAAATACAAAGCGACGGGTACGCGAGCACGAAACATACCCCCAAACACAGAAGCACGCAACCGCAACTCACAGCAGAATGGGGAGACAATCTCAGACCAGATCTCCCAGTTCCTATGAACTATGACAAACTCGTCTACAACTGATCATTCAGCCGAGACCGCTCCCCGTTCCTTCGCAAAGCTTGAGACCAACTCGACAACGAAGAGAAAAGACAGTGGGATCGTGTGTCCTTGACTCCGCAAAGGCACGTTTTCGAATAAGCACACAGTGTGGCATAGCGAGAGAGCAGCAACTAGAGTGTCGAAGGGGAGGATCACGAAATCTGAAGAGCCCTCTTCCAGAACCCAGCCTCAGGGTTCTGCAACACTCGCACGCGCACACACACACGCTCGAAGAAAGTACTAAGCAAACAAGGGAGCTCTCTTCGTCATATTTGGAGCATGGGCGTTTCTAGCGTCGCACCCTTGACCGTGGCCCGTGCCGGCCGGCCCTTCGCCCCAATTAAGCGATGCATGTGCAACGTAACAGGATAGATAGCCCATTACCATGATGTTAGTGTGTTTGGTAATTGGTAAGTGAGCGTGTATTGGCTGTTTACAAAAAGAGGGGCCATTAAAGAGGGGCTATTGCAGTTTAAATCTCAAAGATATAATTTGACATGTTTTTTATTTTTTAAAGATTTTTATGTTTCACTGATATTGTGAACAATTGGACTTGGTATGTCTAAATTATTAGTTATAACAAGGCCAATTTAAGGGCCTCTCCCATACCTACCTAAACCCCTACTTAACACACCAACTACCACTCAATTTTTAGATGGTTGTTTTGGATTTTTGGTTCACAAAAAACAATTCTCAGTAAAATGCTATAAGATAGCCAAGCCATTGTCAATCACCCTCCCCCATTTCCAACATATGGGGTGTGCTATTTCTTTGGCGACTAGATTTGACATTGATCAAAAGAGAATCTTTAGCTAAAACATTTATATAAATTTTATTTTTGGGCCAAATTGTGTAAAAACACTAAGAATCCTCCTGATTTCTATTTCCTTACACAGGAGTATTTTTTTCCATTTTTTACACATACTAGATATATGTTGAAATGATTAAGTTATTATAAATAGATTGTCTACCTAAGTTTCATTCTAAAGGATGTAGTTTGGCATGTGATTAAAGTTTCTTTTAATAGGTTTTATGATAGGGTTGATAAAGAAATATGTATGTTTAATATAACTTTTAAAATTTTAAACTACGATGTATAAATAAAATGTCTACAAAACTTTGTTTAATTTATTAGAAATCCAAAAATATTTTTTAATTTTTATACAATTTTTGATTCTCAAAAACATTCTAAGAATTTCACATGAATACTGTTGTTGAACATGAATGTTCCTATTTGGAAATATCACATATTTGGAAGGAGAATTTACATGAAAAGGTTACTTCCTTTAGAAGCATTTCACGTCAAATAGAAATAAATAATGTTTAATAGATAAATAAGAATCATGGAAAAAATTACTTTTTCTCGTTGGATAGGATTTCCCCAATCACGTTCTCTTCCCTGCCCTTCCCTGTATCGATATTAACGCACGTGTACAGACATTTAAGGATGATAATTAATATTCATTCGTCAAAACCCAATGTTCATTCATTCGACACATTCATTCAATGCACGACGCAGCATCGTAACGAACCGCTGATAAACATGTGGCACGAATAACTTGAAAATCTCCTGAAACTCGGAAGAAAGCAAAAAAAAATAATAAACGGTAAACAACGTAAACGGTGAGGCACGACGGTGAGGACCAAACCCTAACCATTGACGTCGTGGGCCTTTGGGATCTGATCCCCTGAACACTGGACTGCGACAGAGAATGTCCGCGCATTACTGGTTGCTTTTAAAAATCGATGTATGAGTCTCAGATACGACAATGTTGACCTGGCGCATTAAAGTCACCCGAAAGTCACAGATACGACAATGTTGACTCGGTGTTGATTCAACCGCCGTGACTTGTGGGTTTTCTATTCTGAGCATGGAAGAATTCAATTTCGCAGTTCATGTTTGTGGTTGCTCTTGGTTTGTGTATGTTTTGTAAGATTATTTATTTATTTATTTATTTATTCATTCAAAAATTAGATGGGTTTAGCATAAATTAGCATAAATCATATGTTAGATTTGTATATTTTGAGAATGACTGGAGTTGCTGCACCGTGTTTTGGTAACAATTGTTAGTGGATTGGCATAATCTTTGGAATCTATGAACTTTATTTAAGCAGGAGATGTTTTCAGGAAGACTTTTTCTTCAAAGCTTCAATATTAAGAATCTGGTTATTATTATATTTATCACTTGCCTTGTATCCCAAGGGATTTGGTTACAACAAATTCAATTAAAAAGAAATTGTACATGCATAAAGTTCACTAAGCACAACTAAGCTCCGTGTATGCGATTCTGAATAAATTTATTTATTTTGTTGATTGACTCTCTAAATATAAATTGCAAAGAACTAACTAAAAAAACAAATAAAAAAATAAATAAAACATTCTTTTTCTATTCAAATTTGACAAGACCTAGTCAAGTACCTTTGGTGCTGAATTGGCATCTAAAGTCAAATGGAACCACATGCCTTCCTAATTTCAAATGTCTCTCTTATTGTTGAGAATGTTTTAGAGAGAGAAAGAAGAGTAGCTAAAAATAATGTGCAGACACATGTAAAACACACACACACAAAAAAAAGAGTTTATTGATATAGTTATCTTTCATATATAAAGAGAAGGGGAGAAGATAAACAATTTCCTCCCACTACATTCCAAACACTGTAGATACAATATTTATTGTAAACTACAAAGAATATTATGGAGAGCGTCTGCTACATTAAATGCTCTCAATACTCTTCCTTGCTTATCATAATATTTATATAACATAAAATATACATAGAATTATGATCTATACTATTCATCTCAAACTCACAAATAAATAGGTTAATAGCTGCAATGCATATAGATCTAGTACCTATTAGGTTAAGATCATCAACATATACAATAATGATCACAAAACAGATTTCATCTCATTTAATAAATAAACAAGAAATTAGTGGATCACTTACAAACTTATTTGTAATTAAATAATCATAGAGACATTGATACCACATGTATTCAGATTGCTTTAGACCATATAGGGCCTTATGTAATTTAATACCACAATATTGTCTTGAAGCAGGTGCATTTGGAGTTCTTGTTTCCAAACTAGGTGGAATTTTTATATAAATATTTGCATCAAGAGAATCATATAAATATGATGTCGTATTATGTGTTGTCATGTTTAGGAATGCATTGGGCATCTAACTATGGATGGTGGGATCTCTTAACTACACCATTAGATTTTTACAAATTTTCACATACACTTAGCACACCCAATTAATCAAGCATTGTCAAATTTTAAACCATAGATGTGACACCAATTTCACAAACTAGCTGAGAGTACTAGCCTTAATTGTATTGCATAAATCTCAAGTTACCAATATAAACCCTAATTTTGAACAATAATTGCTAAGTCCAAAAAAATCCTAAAAAAATAAATCTTACGTCTTTGAAAGAAGCTCTAAGCTAGTTCTTGACTTCTAATCTCTGATCTTTGAATGAAATCCTAATTTGTCCTAGGTCATTTTTTTAGTGGCTGAAGGTCTGATTTTGACCATGTCTCATAAACGGTTGATCCTCAAGTATCAATCTAATATATTCTAGTAATTTGTTAGCCCAATCCTATCCTCAACTTAATCCTAGTATCAACCATGCTAATTATTTATCTCTTCTAACCTGATTTTACTAATTTATGGTCTTTTTAAGATAATAAAAGAGTCTCTATGGCTTAGAAGATAAAATTACTAATCAATATTTAACCTACTAATTATTAAGATAAGAAAATAAACTTAGAGGCTTTCATAAAAGCCATATTTAAATATCTTGAATAAGTATTGAACCAAGACAATTAGGTATTTATCAAAAATTTATTTACTTCTTACTTCTTGATGGTTATCTACTCAATAAAATTAAAATGACTTCTAAATGGTTATCTACTCAACAAGTCATTTTAATTTTTGATGTTTCAACTTGAGGTATATTAATTAGTGGTATTTCAATCTGAGCAGATTCATTCTGAACTTCACTAATTGAAACTCTTGTAATCTAAGGCACATCATTGAAGCCATCAGGTATTTCATCTATGATTTGTTTTAGATACAAAATCTTGGTAGCTTCAATTTCAGCCAAAGATGTTCTTGAATCAAGATTCATTGTAAATATTTCTAGTATTCCAAATAAAAGTACTATATTTCTTTGTTGTTTAAATATTCTTCCTCAAAGAGATGGAAATATGTTTTCTTCAAAATGTCAATTTTTAAAAATGTCCACGTAATAATGTGCCAGATAATGAGTCAACAATATAAATAATGCTTAATAAATCAAAACCAACATGTATGCCCTCTTGTTGATGAACTCTAATAGTATGTTGTTGATGTTTTAATATTGAAATCCAAGCATAGCAATCAAATACCCATAGGTGAGATACATTTGAAATATGACTTGAAATGAGCTATTGTGATGTAATAATTTCAAGAAAAGAAGGACAAAGGCGTATTAATGTTATAGCATGCAAAAGTGCATGACTCCACATAGATGTAGATAAATTTGCTTAAAAAAAGAGTAGTCAAGTAATGAATTATATATGCTTAATAAATAAATCTACAAGTCTATTTTGAGCATGTTCATATAGAACACAATATGTCAATTCAATCCTTATTGCAATACAATAGTCTTCAAAAGACTTTGATGCAAATTCTTTTCTATTATCCATACGTAATATTTTGATAGGATAATCAAAAAAATATAATTAAAAAAATAAGCATATATATAAGATTGATAAATACCATATTTTGGATTGATAATTAGGAAATATGTGATTTTTTGCTTAATGCATCAATATGGACCAAAAAATAACAAAATGATCCAAATATTGGATTAATGGGACCACAAATATCACCATGCAACCTTTCAAGCATTGGTAGTAACTCTCATATAAGTTTCCAAATTGAAAGCCAAGCAAACATCTTGCGTAAATACATTCTAAATACATGCATGACATAATTCTATAAAATTTGCATCTGCAAGTCTTAAATTATATCTAGTGATATATGGATTTATCTTCTAAAATAATATAGATTTTGCATGTTCTAATCATCCATGGTAGAAAAAAATGCAGCTCTTTGTAATAGATGATGCAAAATTAAATATAATAGAAAGCTAGATTGCAATCTCATATAAATCATTTGCTATAACAATTTTTTTTTTTATAACTTTATGATTTTGTGAAAGAACCAAAATCTCTTGCATATTTAGAATTGCAGTTGAGAGGTGATACCATTG